TCCCACCCTCCCGAGCTGGTGGCACCTCGTTCCGGCCCGAGAATTCCCGGAAGGAGGTGCCACCAGCTCGAGGGCGGGGGGCGGCCACCCCCGTAGCTGGTGGTAGTGGTCCTGAACAATGCAGCTACGAGAGCAACAGCAAACAACATCGTTTAGAGTAAAGCATCCCTTCTGTTCAGCATAAGCCCATGCGCTCAGCTATCAGCATGCTCCAACCTTTCAACGTTAAAATGTTCGGAGCTGACATAGTCAGGGAGATGTTCGAACGCGGAGCTTACCACCTCAACTTCGCAGTGGGGTTATGTGAACAACCACGTGCAAAACGGGTTATGTGGTTGACTTCAACATCCAGCAGGCGCTTCGAGCTGGAACGCGAGTTCGGTTCAGGCAATGCAAGGGCACAGAAGCGTCATCACGCATAAAAGGGGCCATGTGCCGATGCGACACCAAACATCGTATCAATAGAGAACAGCTGAGCATGAATAGCCCGACCAGGGGCATGACAAATAGCAGCGATATTGGAGGAGTACGTCTGAGGGATCGAGGGACACATCGGTACGTGAAGTTAACTGGAGGAGGAAGAACTAAGAGGCGCGAGGTGCACCCCGAAAAGTTCTGCCCCGCCATGCTCACAGGGCTGATGAAAACCTGAAGCCAGATCAAAGAGGTCCATATATATATAGACGCGGCGAATCACCGTTGCCCCCTGCCTGTTGGAATCGCCCATGTGGGCGGGCGTTGTGACAAGAACTCTACCAAACTATCGGCCCATGTGATCCCCCGGCCGTTGTAGAAACCCTGCGGGGGATATTTCGGGGAGGATGGCGGGGAAGATCAGGAGGAGGAGGATGAAGAGGAGGAGGAGGAGGAGGAGAAGGAGGTGGAGGAGGAGGAGGAGAAACAGGAAGGGGCATCTTGGGAGCCTCTGGGGGCAATCTTGGGGCCTCCTTGGAGCTTCCTGGGGGCCTCTTGGAGGCATCATGGGGGCATCCTTGGCCCTCTTGAGGGCCGTGGGGGGCTTCTTGTAGGCCTTTTTGGCCGTCTTAAAGTATTGCTGGCCCGTCTGGTGCCGTCGGAAGCTCGGAAGCCGCCTGTGGGGCCTCTCTAGGCCGACTTGGGGCCCTCTGCGGGTGCGCCAGGGCCGTCTTGGAGGCCATCTTGGGGTCTTGGAGGCCTCCTGGGCCGTCTTTGAGCCGTTTTGGGGGCCTCCTGGTCAGATTTGGGGCCATCTTGGGGGCCCGTGGGGCGATTTTAGAGCGATCTTTGGAGGCCTCTTGGGCCGTCGGAAGGCCGAAAACAAGCAAATGCCAAAATCTGTCAAACAAACCCCAGGAACACCCATGAGTTTGGCCTCTTCGAGCCTTCCCGGGTGCCCTCTTGGAGGCCTACTGGGCCGTCTTGGAGACCGCTTGCGTGCCTCTTGGGACGTGCTGGGCCATCTTGGAGGTCTCTTGAGCGATCGTGGGGCGATCTTTGGAGGCTCTTGGGCCGTCTCGGGCCGTCAGAAGGCCGAACATAAGCAAATGCCAACATCTTGCAAACACCGAAGGAACACCAATGAGTTAAGCCTCTGGAGGCCTTCCTGGAGGCCTTCTTGGAGGCCTCTTGGGCCGCCTTGGGGCGATCATGAGGTTAATCTTGGAGGCCTTGGCGGCCATCTTGGGGCGATCTCGGGTGCCTCTTGGGCCGTCTCGGGCCTTCGGAAGGCCGAAAACAAGCAAATGCCATGATCTGTCAAAAACTCAAGGGAAAACCTATGATTTTGGCCTTTTCGGGCCCTCCTGGAGGACCTCTTGGAGGCCTCTTGGGAGCCTCCTGGGCCGTCTTGGGCCATCTTGGAGGCTTCTTGGGCGGACTCGGAGGCATGTTTGATCCATCTTGGGCCGTCTTGGTGGCTTCTTCGGCGGACTTGGAGGCAACTTGGACCACCTTTGGCCATCCTGGAGGCCATCTTGGACCAACATGGCCATCTTAGAATCCATCTTCAGCCGTCTTCGAGAATGTGTTGGGCACGTTGAGGTTGTTTCCGGTCCCTTCCTGGTGGCCAGCATGACGGGCCGAAGCACCAGGGGGAGTTCTTTTGGAAAGAGAACCAAAACCAAACCGTATAGGGGTTCGGCACGCTGGGCACCCATGTGGCAAGACCACAGTGGGCGGCGGATCGAAGACGCCTACGGCGAATCACCGCCGCCCCCTGCCTTTTGGAATCGCCCATGTGGCCGGGCGTTGTGGCAAGAGCTCTGCCAAACTGTGGGGCCATGTGTTCCCCCAGCCGTTGTAGAAACCCTTCGGGGAACACGTGGGGGAGGATGGCGGGGGTGATCAGGAGGAGGAGGAAAAAGGAGGGGCATCTTGGGAGGCTCTGGGGGCACTCTTGGGGCCTCCTGTGAGCCTTTTGGAGGCATCTTGGGGCCTCCTTGGGCCGTATTCGAGGCCTCTTGGGCTGTCTTGGGGCCCTCTTGGGGCCGTCTTGGAGATTCTGGAGCCATCTTGGAGGGCCTCTTGGGCGATCTTGGGGCGATCTTTTGGGGTCTTGGGCCGTGCTGGGCCGTCAGAAGGCCGAACATAAGCAAATGCCAAAATCAGTGAAAAAATTTAAGGAGAACCAATGATTTTGGCCTCTTCGGGCCTTCCTGAAGGACCTATTGGGGGCCTCTTGGGCCGTCTTGGAGACCACTTGGGGGCCCTTTGGGCCGTCTTCGGCCATGTTGACCATTCCATTACAACCAGAGACAGTTGGGGATCGCTTCTGCCGTCCCACTTGAGAAAAAACACGCAACCGAGATGTGCGGCAATTTGCAATTAGCCTGGCGAAGGACCCAACCATTTGCAATTGTGAGCACCGCCGTTGTACGCACCGCATTCGGAGAAGCTCCCTGAAGGGCCACGAAACGTGTGAGGGGTGAGCTAACCTGTGTCCGGTGGGCGCATGCGAAAGCAACCACTGGGGCCGTCGGTGGAACTCCCTATGGGGCCACGAAACGTGTAAGGGGTGTGCCGAAATATGTGCGGTAAGCGCATGCGAACGCAGCCATTGGGGCCGTCGGTGGAGCTCCATATGGTGCCGCGAAGCGTGTCATGGGTGTGCCGAAATGGGTGCGGTGGGCGCTTGCGAACGGAGCCACTGGCGCCTTCGGTGGAGCTCCCTATGGGGCCACGAAACGTGTGAGGGGTGTGCCGACATTGGTGTGCGTGACGCATGTGGGCGGTGGCACTTGGGCCCTCGGTGGAGCTCCCCATGGGGCCACGAAACGTGTGAGGGGTGTGCCGACATTGGTGTGCGTGACGCATGCGGGCACTGGCACTGGGTCCTTCGGTGGAGCTCCCTATGGGTCACGAAACGTGTGAGGGGTGTGCCCAAATGAGTGTGCATGACGCATGCGTGCGGTGGCACTGGGCCTCCGGTGGAGCCCCCATATGGGCGAAACTGCCGACATGGGTGTGCGTGACGCATGTGGGCGGTGGCGCTGGGGCCTTTGGTGGAGCTCCCTGTGGGGTCACGAAACGTATGTGTGCCGACATTGTCGTGCGTGACGCATGCGGGCGGTGGCACTGGGGCCCTCGGTGGAGCTCCCTATGGGGCCACGAAACGTGTGAGGGGTGTGCCGAAATGAGTGTGCGTGACTCATGCGGGCGGTGGCACTGGGGCCTTCGGTGGAGCTCCCTATGGGCCACGATGTGCCAAAGTGAGGGGGTGACAGGAGGAGGGAGGAGAGGGGGAGGAGGAAGGATGGAGAACGCGGGGACCGTCTACTCAAAACGAGGACCAAACACCACAGGATGGTAGGGTATCATCTTCGGCGAGCCAGCACGCAACGAAAATGTCACGAAAATGGAGAACGAGGCGAAGGGGCAAGGGCGCTGTGGTGATAACCCCGCATGACCCAAACTGCCACATATATAATCCAACGCACAGCGCAATCCTTGGGGGAAGAGGAAGGAGAGGAGGGTTGTGATAAAGGATCTCCCATTTTCAATAGCTCTCATGCGGCGCAGCATGGCACGCCACCCTGCCGAGAGCCGAGGCCAACGGACAGCGCCGCGAGCAAACCGCAACGGCGTGCCTCTTCTGAGGCTCTTGTGCGTGATCAAACTTTAACGTGCTCCAGAAAAGCGTTTCCAGAGCACGCCGGAATCACATGTCAGCTTCAGGGGGATTCACAACGCAATGGCACCACGATTTAAACAGGGAGGCAGGCAGGGAGGGAGGGAGGGAGAGGAAGACGGGTGGAGGGAGTAGCTGGGTTGGGACGGAGGCCCTAGCTAATCAGACAGTCGTGGCAGCGATCAGAATTTATTCCGCGACCTGGCCCTGGAGAGCGCGGGCCATGGAGGAACGCAGTGACTACTAGACTACACCTACTACTACTACTACTACTACTACTACTACTACTACTACTACTACTACTACTACTACTACTACTACTACTACTACTACTACTACTACTACTACTACTACTACTACTACTACTACTAACTACTACTACTACTACTACTACTACTACTACTACTACTACTACTACTACTACTACTACTACTACTACTACTACTACTACTACTACTACTACTACTACTACTACTACTACTACTACTACTACTACTACTACTACCACTACTACTCCTACTACTACTACTACTACTACTACTACTCCTACTACTACTCCTACTACTATTACTACTACTGCTACTACTACTACTACTACTACCACTACTACCACTACCACTACCACTCCCACTACTACTATTTCTTTTATTATTATTACTACTACTACTATTACTATTACCAGTTCTACTACGACTACTACGACCACTTCTTCTACTACTACTACTACTACTACTACTACTACTACTACCGCCACTACTACTACTACTACTACTACTACTACTACTACTACTACTGCTGCTGCTGCTGCTGCTGCTGCTACTACTACTACTACTACTACTAATGATACTACCACTGCTGACCAGAATGGCCCTCCGACCGGCCTTGTCCCGACGAGGTCAACCTGGCGAGCGCCAGGGGCCAGACCGCGCTGCTCATGGCGGCCGCCAACAACCTGCCCGAGATATGCCGCACCCTTATCGTGGCGAAGGCGCCCATGGTCCCCCCGCCCCGCCGGTCTACCAGGTTTTGGGGGCGCAGAAGAAGTAGGGCAAGGAGGAGGAGGAGGAGGAGGAGGAGGAGGAGAAGAGGCAGCAACCGGAGGAAAAGGGGCTGAGGCAACAGGATAGAGGGGGAGGAGGAGGAGGACCACATTCATGCTACCACAACATCGACTCCAACAGGCCCTGGACAGGTGGAGACACCTTCGTCACGCACGGGCATCTTAACGCACTAGTCGCAAAAAACAGCCAGCATACCATACCTATACGACCACCCTGCGGGTGATAAGGAGGTTCGGGGGGGGGCCAGCAATGGGCAACAGTGGTGAATGTTGTTGTGACAATGCCAGTGGAGATAGATGCGTTGCCGCTCGCTCTTGGGGGCGTTGGTGTCGAGTTGTTTACGTCACCCTTCCCCTGGGAACCTGCCCAACCAGCGCAACGGCAGTTAACGGCGCCATTTGGCCACAGAAGGCTGAAGCGCTGGCAAAGCTTGGCGCAGCCCGCGCCGCCTCTTGCACGATCGAGATCAGTATCGATCTATCTATCGGTCTCACTCAATCGAACTCATTCGATCAATCTCACCATCGATCTCACAATCGATCTCATCATCGATCTCTCTCGGCCGGTCTCACTATCGATCCCACCAGCGACCTCACAACCGATCTCATTATCGATCTCACTATCGGTTCCCCTAACGATCTCCCATTCGATCTCACTCGATCGATCTCACTGTGGAGAGGTTCAGAACCGAGGGGTGCGTGGTGGAGGATAACCTGAGAGAAGACCTCATTCGCTGTCTCATTCGGTCGCACTACCGATCTCACCATCGATATCACTATCGACGTCGTCATCATCATCATCATCGGCATCACCATTAACATCATCATCGTCATCATCATCATCAGCATCATCATCATTAACGTCGTCATCATCATCACAATCATCATCACCACCATGGCCATTATCACCATCAGCATCGCGCAATCGATCTCAAATTTGGTCTCACTATCGATATCACAATCGATCTCACAATCGACGTCATCATCATCATGATCGCCATCGTAATCATCATCATCAACAACGACACCAACTTCATTATTATCATCATCATCATCATCATCATCGCCATCATCAACATCATCATCATCATTACCATCACCAGCATCACCATCATCATCCTCGTAATCATCACGTCATCATCGGGACACCGACGGGACACCGAAGGGATACCAGCGGGACACCGGCGGGACACCGCGCGGCACCGGCCGCCCGGTCAAGGTTCTTTTGCTCCGGCCGGGCCTCAGCCACACGGGACACCAGCGGGACACCGGCGGGACACCGCGGGGCACCGGCCGCCCGGTCAAGGTTCTTTTGCTCCGGCCGCGCTTCAGCCACAGGAGACTTTCTCTCGCCCGCCCACGCAGCTTCGCTTCGCCCGCGCGGCACGCACGAACACGAAACCGAAATCGATTTCCCGGTAGGGGGGCTCTCCGTTCCACTTCGATCTCACCCCCCAACCTCCGACTACAAAAGTGCCGAAGACCGTCAGGACCAACAGCGATTCGACGACAACGACGCTGTCGACCATGACGTATGCCGACGCCCCCTCATCCACTCATCTTGGGACGACTTCAGCAACGACATCGACAACATGGTGCGACTACGACAACTCCACTTCCACGAAGACGGCACGGAACAAAAAGCTTCACAGTGACATTCTGCAATATCTACGACCAGCAACACGACAAGGAATACGTGTTCCAGATGAACGTTGATTACGGTATACGCGCCAAATTCAACAAAGACGGCGGTACCACTTTCCGCAACTCAATGAGCGACCCACATCACAATGCCAGGGCAGGCTCAAAACTGTCGTCGTTGACCAATTACTTGGCAGACGCCTTCCACGCATCAGGTGCGTCAACTGTGCACCCACCCTGGTACACATGCATATTAAAGAAGCAGCGTAGGCACATCGCACCACCCTCCACAGACCATCAACCAGAGTACGTGGAACGACCAATTCCAACGCCCCACGCCACCAACGCATTACGAGCTGACCTTACCGACGGCCATCAATTTCACGCGGCCCCGCATGCTACGCCACTCGTTCCCAACACCCATCAAGGACTTGCGCCCCGGCGAACATCGCATGCTGTAAGAACGCAGCCCCAGTTGCATCCGCCCACGCCCCACGTTCGACACACCGCGCCCAACCAGGCCGCGCTTTCAATTCAGGCCACCAAGGTTCACCAGAACAAGAATCTTAGTCCGAATGCCTTCTGACGTCCCAGCTTGCCACCCGCACTGCAACTTCGCGCGGGGCCAACTTGCAGAGATTCGCGATTCAGAGCGAAGGGGTTGTGCATGCGAAGACAAGCTGCGACTTACTTGCACAGGCCACGCACGCATGACGCCACCACCATCACATCCAAGGCCAAAGGCACCAAAATCAGACAACCAGCATACCACACTACAAAAGTGCCGACTACCATAAGGACCAACTGGCATTCAACGACAACGACGCTGTCGACCATGGCGTACGCCGACGCCCGCTCATCCACTCATCTTGGGACGACTTCAGCAACGACATCGACAACATGGCGAGACTACGACATCTCCATTTCAACGAAGACGGCGCGGAAGAAAAAGAAGCTCCACAGAGACATTCTGCAATATCTACGACCAGCAACACGACGACGGACAGGTGCTCCAGATGAACGAGGACTACGGCATACGCGCCACGTTCAACAAAAACGGCGGCGCCATTTTCCGTAGCCCAATAAGCGACCCGCAGCACATTGACGGCGCAGGCTCAAAACTGTCGCCGTTGACCAATTACCGCGCATACGCCTTCCACGCATCAGGTGCATCAACGGCGCGCCCACCTTGGCACGCACGCACATTCAAGAAGCAGCGCAGGCGCATCGCACCACTCTCCACACACCAACAACCAGAGTACGTGGAACGACCAATTCCAACGCCCCACGCCACCAGCGCAGTACGAGCTGACCTCACCGACGGCCATCAATTTCACGCGGCCCCGCATGCTACGCCACTCGCTCCCGACACCCATCCAGGACTTGCGCCCCAGCGAGCGCCGTGTGCTTCAAGAGCGCAGCCCCAGTTACATCCGCCCGCGCCTCACGCTCGACACACCGCGCCCAACCAGGCCGCGCTTTCAATTCAGGCCGCCAAGGTTCACCAGAACAAGAATCTTAGTCCGAATGCCTTCTGACGTCCCAGCTCGCCACCCCCACTGCAACTTCGCGCGGGGCCAACTTGCAGAGATCCGCGATACAGAGCGAAAGCATTGCGAATTGGAAGACAAGCTGCGCCCTACCTTCACGGGCCACGCGCACGCGGCGCCACCACAATTCCATTCCAGGCCAAAAGAACCAAACAAGTCACAGCAAGACCCGACGCCAGCTACGAATATGCGCCGCCGCCGGAAGGACATACACCAGCACCTCTTACGAAGTCTGCGCCACCGCAACAGCCGCAACCAACGCATCCCCATAACCCCTGGGCCCGCATGCCGGAACTGAGATTCGACACAAACGAATCCGACAGCCGCAGCGACGACGAAGACCCATGGGCCAAGCATGCGCGGAGCCGCAGAGACACATGAGTTCCACCTCGCACCGCTGCTTCCGCTTAAAAGGGTTTCGACATGGATTGCCCTCATATTTGGACAGCGGACTGCCGCCGCGCCAGTGTTACTGGCGCCGACGGCTACGACGGCGGCCGATGGCACCGCGCGCGGCACTACCACGAACTCTCCAACGCTTACGCGCACATATTCCCCAATCACGTCCTACGACTACCAGGATGGCACTTGTACCTTGACAAGTTCTATAATGGGCTCTTCGTGCACCACGACCAGAACCAACACTTGCCACATCCCCCGCTGCGAACCGACTCAAGAGCCACGCCATTCTTGACCTTCCAGCTACCGTTCGCGGCCGCAGCCAAATGCCTCAAACCACTACGCGTCGACACCTCTCTACCCTTTCCAATCCCTCCAAGCCGCCAACCTAGACTCCGCTATGGCAACGACAATGGCGCATTCGCCAGCCACTGTCGCAACAACGCGGCATCCCGATTAGCAGTAACTACCGCTCGCCAACACATCCAGACACTGCTGACAGGCAAACATGCACCATTGAGCCACAACTCGATCGCAGCCATGCAGGAATCAGCACAATGGCTCAGATCATGCCACGATATTGACAACGCAATGACGCACGACTGGGCGGCCAAGATCTACGACGCGGCAACCATTTACGACGCGCGCGATATCCCGCGGCGGCTCGCAGCACTATCAGACCCGCGCAAACATTAGCCGAGTCAAGCTCCAGCGAGGAGGGCGCGCCGACGACCACTCACTCGACGAACGATAGGCCAGCAGCGGCACCGGCGCCGCCGCCGCCAACGTGCACAGAACCTGCCAAAGGAACAAACGCCACCACTGCGGGCCACGCCAGTCGCCAAAATAACACCATCGCAGAGGTCTACCACGCACACCATCACCACCGGCGCATTCGCAACCACACCTGCTGCGCCGCCCACAGAGGCCATCGCCGCATGGTCACTTGCAACGAGAGTCGCCATACCTGTGCACCCACCACCACTAGCGCATAATATTCCTGCTGCCTGCCCACCTACGAAGACATCAGGACGCAGCGATGGCTACAAAGTGTGCCCGCCTATGCACCGACTGGCACCGCAGACTTGCGCTACCTTGTAGATTTATGTCCCGCCCCGGGTGCTCGCGGAATCCCCGATGCGCGCCGTGTAGGCGCGGCGCGACGTGACCGACAGCCGTGGGCGCACGTTCGCGCGCGACATAAGGGGCCCGCGCGCCCACGAGCACATCGACGCAGGGCACTCGCGCCAAGCGCGGCGCGAGCAGCACCTCGCCACTATCCGCTCCCGCAGCCCCCTGCAGCGCCTTCCAGGGAAGCGCCGCCGCGCAAGGCCCGAC